CTAGGCTACTAGCTTTGGTTCCTTCTCACTTTTAATTTGGAATTCCTAACATTGCATGGTTATAGAAATGTAATATAATAATGTGAAATGGACTTACTTGTCGTGCGCGCGCTGCCTGTTCTCTGCCCATCCAGATGGGTTGACGACACTGGACATTTCAGTGTAAGCATAGATAACCTTAGGGTGGCTCATCCATGACCGGCCCAAGTATATCCCGGTTCCAACTCCAGTAACCTTGCAATGCACGAAAGCATACCCGTTCTGCTCATTATTACTCTGTCGATTGTGTGCCGTGATGACTCTCAACCCATCTCCAACAGCATGCAAATGCGTGTTCTATATTTTGATAAAACAAACAAAATACGTCTAGTTAAATTCTCAATCAAACTGTATATATGTATTAAAAAGAGATCAAAAATGTAAAAATGTACACGTACCAAGTACAAGGAAGCTCCTCTTCCGAAAATAAAATCATAGGTTCCTTCGATGTAACAACCCTTAAAGAAATGGTTGCCTCTATCGTCGCAAAGAGTGTCTTGAAAACCATAGAATCTACACCTGTAGAAAGCAGCTTTATCGCCGTTGATCCTCATAGCTAGAGCTTGTCCTTGTGTACCTGCTTTCGGCATCGGATTGGTATTCTATAGGCAAAAAACAAACAATCATATGTATATGCGTCAAATTAGTATCCAATATTGATCTTTAACGTAATATATTTAAGAATTAAGATATAAAAACATATGTATATACACTACACATACTATGATGTTTAGGTTGGCTGCTACAAAGTTTGTGGCCCAGACGATAAGAGTTGCACTCTCTACGGTACCGTATTTAGCGGAGGTACCGTCGTAGGTCAAGTTGGTTTCTGCACCAGGTTTACCAAGCAATGTAACGAATGGTCGACCTATATCGATTGTGACCTTCTCATGGTATACACCAGGCTCCAATTTGATGATCACACGCTTCGTGTTTCCTGTCGGAATGCTCTTGACCGCTTCGTTTATTGTCTTAAAATCGCCACCTCCTTTTTGATTCACCTACATTGAAATTTTATCATTTTTCATTGTAATTTAATAGTATATGACTGATATGATACAAACTAAAAACCGTACCAAATGAAATAAACCAACTAAATCTCAATTTATTTGAAATTATTTTGAATTAAAGACAAAAGATCAGAATCCGAACAAAAAAAAATGCCGGTTTTGATATGGTTTTTATTTTTGAAAAGCCGAAAAAGGAAATGTGAAAACCGGAAACCAGATTCAAAAAATGAATTAATCCTATAAAGATGATTTTTTTTTTGTGGTTTACTTACGGTGATGATACGGGGTGATGCTTCAGCGGCTTCGACGGCGGGATCAAGTATGCCTTTACCTCGTCTGTTGGAAAAGGGTTTAACGTGGGTCTTGAACCATGCTTCGACTTGGGCTTTTTCCGCGGGAATTGGAGTTACTTCGTCGGCTAGAACTACCGGTAAGGCAAAAACGACGAGGAATGCAACCATGGATACAGAAATGTACCCCATGTTTTATTATTTTATTTTTTTAAATAAAAGCAACAAAAAAATGTTTTATTACTAGTTATATTACTTGAAAGTAAAATGGAAGAGATGAATAAACTTTGAAGGGATTTTATAGATCTATTTTTTACTATTTTCGTTTGTGGATTACAACATTCCTCGAAGCCTTTTTGAATATTGATTTTCCTAACCAGTAATTTCTCATGCATTTTTTTTTTTAATAATTGGGTTATTTTAAATCTAAACCCGAACTAATCTCCGAGCTGGTTCATAAAAATTTGGATATCTTGCCATTTGAAGACAACTACAGAGAGTTAAGTGGCATCGTTTCCACGTTTGAAGAGATACATTCATTAATCTATGGTCAAATTCTCATCAAAGCGAAACTATGGTCACTACTGTGTGTGATTAATTTGGAAATCAAGTAGCTTGTTGTTGACTAATCAATATCTCTTTATTCGTATTCTTTTCACATAATTGATGCCTCACATTCAGTAATAGCTATTCAAATTGGAGCAAACACCCGAATAAAAAAGGAAAATCATCTTAACCAACTATTTTCATATAAGAGGAATTACATAATTTCTGAAACTACATCGTTTATTGCAGAATTAAATTTTCACAAAATATCCAAACATAAAATAGTTGTTGCATATAAACATAATAAGGAATACAAAATATTATAAAATTTGAAAACATCATATAAAAAGAAACATAATAATTAAGGACATATGTAATTTTTAGGTGAATTTATGAAGGAATACTATGTATACACTATATAGAAATTTATATTTAGTTATGCATGGTAAAACTATAATTGGTCTAATATATTATACTTTTTGAAATTTATATTTAGTTATCTGATTGAACGATGTAACATAAATTATACTTCTTCTTTTGATAAAATGTAGCATAAATACTAATGTAGTAAGAATAAAAAATATTTCAAAAAGTGACATTTTTCAAAAAAAAAAAAATCAATTTTCTATACTCTCGATGTTTTTACAAGGGTTGATTTGGTATTTTGGTTAATAACCAAGAAAAAAATTAAAACATAATAACTAACCAAAAATCTTACAATTAGTAGTTATAATTAGTGCCACATAGAGAATTTTGCTTAGTTATTATGTTTTAAATTTTTTCTTAGTTATCATTGCCAATATCCTTAATATCTTACAATCACCATCTTTGTAAGATATTAATTCATAATCAATAATGATCTCCACTAGTTAATTCTGTAAACATAAAATAAAAGGTCATATTGCTAATATTTGTCATTGTCTTGTAAATATATAACATAAAAAATTCAAATAATTACATTAGTACGAGTGTGTCATAAATATTAAATACTTAAAAGGAGAGCTACTTAAAAATAGCGGTTTTCTGTAAATAAATCATTTAAATGGTTAAGATTTGCGATTTTACCCTCTATGTCAGTTAAATGCAGGCAAACCCTCCAAGAAGAGTCAACTCGCAATATAACCTTTATAAATTTGTCAAACCACAAAATTTACATATCAAATCGAATTTCTTGAAATGAAAAACCCAAATGACCAAATATACTCTAAAAATTTAGGAACTCTAAGGCTTGTAGGGATAAAAGCTTTTTAATATTTCAGATCTGAAGAGTTATATTGCGGATTGACTGCATTTAATTGACATGGAGGATAAAATCGCAATCTCTAACCATTTGGAGGATTTATTTGCAGAAAACCTTTAAAAATAAGCACTATATAGAGTACATGTGAATCGAGACCGCGTTTTAATAACGAAACCAAAACTACACGAGTCTCAAACTCCTCCATGGTATACAAGGAGTGGACTTTTAAGAAAACAAACTCAAAAGACAAAAAAAAGATTAGAAAGAAAAAAATACACCGATATACATACTCTCGGTCAATAAATAAATGTCCAAGTATAGTTTTTTTATATATTATTTCAAAATGTAATAGGTTAATATTAAAGCGTTTACAAAGCTGGTGGAGGGAGAAGCCACTTGGAGCCTTGGATGTAACCGAGGGAAAGGAAACGGTTAGCTTCATTTGCGTCAATGTCTTGTGTGAATGGAACTCTCTTGGCCGTGTGTGATCCTGGTCCTGAACACTTGTACTCTCCATAGAACACAGTCCTGTCCAAAACAAAAACCAATCCATTTTAGACCATACCGAACCGATTAGGTCATTATCACAATCTTGTAATGTGAAACTTGGACTTACTTGTCATGTGCGGCCTGTTTGTTTTCTTGCCATCCTGCTGGGTTTACGACGCTGGTCATCTCGGTGTAGGCGTAGACAACCTTAGGGTGGCTCATCCATGCCCTACCTAAATAGATTCCTTCACCGGTTCCAGTCACCTTGCAGTGCACGAATGAGTATCCACTCTTCTCTTCGGCGCTCTTTCCGGCATGGGCTGTAATCACTCTAATACCATCTCCCACCACGTGCAATTGTGTTCCCTTTCGATTTCAACACGAATCATAAGAGATTTCAGAATTTATGTATTAAGAAAATAGGAGATGAGATATAGAGTATATATATATATGAAAATGCGCGTACCAAGTACATAGAGGTTCCACTTCCGAAGATGAAATCGAATGTTCCTTCGACGTAACAATCCTTGAAGAAATGGTTTCCGGTATCATCACAGATTGTGTCTTGGAAACCGTAGAATTTACAGTTGTAGAAAGCCGCAAAGTTTCCAGAGATTCTCATGGATAAAGCTTGTGCTCCCTTTGTTTTACCATCAGGCGCGGGCGCGGTATTCTACATAAATAAATAAAAAGGTAAAACTAACCGAAATCCAGACTAATCTCCAAGATAACCAACAATGCGCATAGTATTGTATAATATACCTTAACAATTATGTTGACGGCCATGAAATAGTCGGATAAAATAATGAGTGAGGCACTATCTACGGTTCCATACTTGGCCGCGGTACCGTCGTAGGTGATAACCGGCATATTGACACCGGGTTGTCCCAACAAAGTAATGAAAGGTTTGTTTCTATCGATAGTGACTTTCTCTCTGTACTCACCAGGAGCCATCTTGATGATGACACGCTTTGTGTTACCTGCAGGAACGCTCTTTATTGCGTCCGTTAGTGTTTTGAATTCACCTCCCTTTGGATTCACCTGATTAAATTATATATGTGTAACAACAACGACAAATGTAAATGAGTTTTGTAATCATCAATATTGTATAGGATTAGGGAGGAGAATGTGAAGTTTGTTGATCATACGGTGATGATACGTGGCGCGGCCTCAGCAGCTACTAGAGCTGGGTCTAAGCCTTTACGTTGAGGCAAAGGAGCGACGTGGGTCTTGAACCACTGTGCAACTCCTGGTTTGGACTCGGGGATTGGTGTGGCATCATCGGCAAACACCATAGGTGTGACAAAAACCACTAGCAGGGCTAATAGTATGGGCACATTTGTGTATCCCA